GAGCCCCCCCCCCGGCCCCCGCCTCCCCGCTCCAAAACAGTCCAGTGGCACCTTTAAGACCAAGTTTTATTCAGGCACAAGCTCTCCCTCCTCTGCGAGGGCAGATCTGCGTGTCCCGTCCCTCCCAATAGCTAGCAATCCAAAAGAGTCCAGTGGAGCCTGAGTGGTGGGTGTTGCCTTCAGACACACTTCCGGTGATGTCGGGGGCGTGGCATATGCAAACGAGTTATGCTAATAAATTATGCTAATGAGCTCCTGCGCCTCTTTTTCTACGAAATGACCCCTGGCAACAGGTATATACGAAAGTTGGGATAAACTATACCCTGGTTCTTCTATCTACAACTCAAGCGTGTCACTAGCTCTATAACGAGGACAGCCAATTCACAGGAAACTACTGCATCTGAGGAACTACTAGAAAACAAAAACTCGGAGAACCAGATTTGATTCCACGCTCCTCCACTTGCAGCTGCTGGATGACCTTGGGCAAGCCATAGTTCTTTCAGAGCTGTCCTTGAAAGGGCAGTCATCCAAAGAGCTCTCTCCACCCCGCCTACCTCACAGGGTGTCTGTTGTGGGGAGGGGAAGGGAAAGGAGTTTGTAAGCCGCTCTGAGACTCCGAGTGAAGGGTGGGATATAAATCCAATCTCTTCTTCTTCTTCTCCCTCCCCTCCTGCAAGACTTAAAGGGCCCTTCAGCTGATTAGAGGGCCCTGTAAATCTTGCTGCAGCAGCAGCAGCAGCAGGAGGAGGAGGAGGAGAAGAAGAAGAAGAAGAAGAGATTGGATTTATACCCCGCCCTTCACTTGGAGTCTCAGAGCGGCTTACAAACTCCTTTCCCTTCCCCTCCCCACAACAGACGCCCTGTGAGGTGGGTGGGGCTGAGAGAACTCTGACATAAACTGCTCTTTTTCAAGGACAGCTGTGCCAGAGCTTGTGACTGACCCAAGGTCACATCAGCAGGTGCACGTGGAGGAGTGGGGAATCAAACCCGGTTCTCCCAGATTAGAGTCCGCACACTTAACCACTACACCAAACTGGCTCTCCAGTTTGAGGACAGCCACTGCCCATATGAGCACACACTCCTGTCTCTGATGGACTAAGGGTCTGATTCAGTACAATGTTTGTGCCTGAGTACCCCACGACCAAGCTGAGCTTGCCTGACTAGCGGTGCTCCTCAAGGAAGCTCTGAGAGTTCTTACCTCACCAGCTCTTCTGTGCTCTCGCAGGCTAATAAGATAGCTTCACTGGAAAGGTCTGCCATCGTGTGGTTCAAAGAATTCGGCAAGTGCATCGCGTGGTGTATGGCCGTGTCATGGAATTCCACCTCTATGGCGTTGTCTTGCTCATCGTTATAGCAGCGAATGATACCGATAGAGTTCCACACCTATGACGGAGGCGAGAATAATGACCACTTTCAGCAACAGAAAAGAGCAAGAGTCCAGTAGCACCTTAAAGACTAACAAAGTTTGTGGCAGGGGAGGAACTTTTCATGAGTCGCGGCTCACTTCTTCGGAGTCCAGGAGCACCTTAAAGACTCACAAAATCTGTGGCAGGGGATCAGCTTTTGTGAGTCGCTGCTCACTTCTTCATATAATAAATTTTGTTAGTCTTTAAGGTGCTTCTGGACTCTTGCTCTTTTCTACTGCTACAGACAGGCTAACATGGCCACCCGTCTTGATCTACCACTTTCAGCAAGGCTACATACCGCCTTCAAATATTTGTTGGCAGGGACGAGGTCTTTCAAACACCTCCCTCCCTCAGCCTCCCTGGGTACACCAGGAGCCAAACACTATAAATCAGAGGTGTCGAACTCATTTGTTATGACGGCTGGATCTGATATAAATAAGACCTTGTTGGGCCTGGCATTACATCATAAAATGTAGTGCCAGGTAACAGAGATATAAACTTTATAAAAGACACACACACAAAGGTTTTTTTTAATTAAACTAAAACATGCTTAAAACATTAGCACTCTTGCAATATTTTGTTTATTTAACAGTGTCTGATAACTGACACCTCTTGCTCTGAATGATTGCATCAAAATGTCTGTGCTGTTGCAGTCTTGAGTATGCTGTTCAGGTGTGTATCTGTAAGCTGCAAACCTACGATGACGCAGCAGCAGCAGAACTGGAAAAAGAAGCAGGAGACAGCCAGTTCCACTGCGGGCCTGAATGAAGCCCTTCAGGGGCCTGATCCAGCCCCCGGGCCGCATGTTTGACACCCCCGCTATAAATGGCAGCGCTTGTGATTTTTCATATTTACATATGAAAAAGTAACTGCCACTTGTAATACTAATGCAATAGTTCAAACTCTTTCAGGCATGATCAATATTGACATCAATATGATCAATACTGAGGGGTCTGGCAGCTTCTCAGAGTTATCGCCTACCTGCACTCACGAGAGATTCACAACACTACGACAAGAAAAATAAACTACTCTCTAACACTCAAAACTATCCACTCTCTTTTTCTCCCAGAATCCAAAAGGCTGTGATATCCGATGGCAGAGAAACAAGGAAACACAATTACACGTTTTTTTTAAAAAAAGAGTCAACCCAATGAAGCAAAGAAACCACAGAACTCACCATGAAACGATGCGTGAGATGTACCGGGGTGGAGCCCGACTGGAACGGTTTTTGCCGAGGGGTTGGCACCGGCCCGTCATAGAAAGGTCTCTGGGTAGAGGACTGTGGTGGGACCGGAGGAAGGCTCTCCTGATCCTCCTCTTCGCCCTGCTTATCTGGAGCGGAACTGGCCTTCAGCAAGCCGAGATCTGTGGGAGACGGATCGACTGACAGTCAGAGGATTATAAACAGCAGCCCTTCTCGCCGCTCCCCCAGGAAGCTAGTGTCCAAACTGACAGCACAAAATCAAGATGACGAGTTGGCAGCTGCTCCATGTGCAGCCCCCTCCCTCAATAACTCTCCCCCACCTCAATCTGAGATTAGGCTGGTGGTAAGCAATGCTCCCCTCTAGACTATGGAGTCTTGTGAGGAAAAATTCTACTTTGTGAGCCACTGGAATTAATGTTGCGAGTGGGCGATCTGGCTGCTGCATCAATTAGCCTGCTCCGGAGCCGTCCGTCCTGAGCGAAGGCAAAAATGTGTGAGCCGGAGGCTAAAGAACTGCGAGCTGGCCCACACTAACTCAGCTTAGAGGGAACACTGGTGGCAACCCAGGGACAGGGCCTTCTCAGTTGTAGCACCAAAACTCTGGGACTCTCTCCCCAGGTTGCCGTCTTCGGCCAGCCAATGAAGACTTTCTGGTTTCGTTCGGCATCCCCCTCCACAATTTCTGTTTCCTGACCCATGTTTTAACGGCCACTGCAATGTCGTTGTATGTACTTAAGCGCGTGGACCTGGGTGGCCCAGGTTAGCCTGATCCCATCAGATCTTGGAAGCTAAGCAGGGTCGGCTCTGGTTAGGGTTTGGATGGGAGACCACACCAAGGAATACTAGGTTCGCTACGTAGAGTCAGGCAATGGAAAACCATCTCTGAAGGTCTCTTTCCTGGATAGCCCAGACTTGCCTGGCCTTGGCAGGTCTCAGGAGCTAAGCAGGGTCAGCCCTGGCTAGCACTTGGATGGGAGGCGGTGGTGCAGTGGGTAAATCCCCTGTGTAACTATAACATCTGAACTGCCAAGCTTTGTCAGTTCCAGCCCCGTGCCGGTGTGAGCAGCCAAGCCTTGTCCCTAGCTCATCGTCTACCCAGCGATTCGAAAGCTTCGGCAAGTAGATAAATTGGGGACCACCCGTAAGGGGGTGGGCACACCACTCCCCTTGGGAGGTGTTAGCTACCAGTGTGACATCTGCGGCGCGGCAGAGATCAAAAAGTGGAAAAATCTGTTTCGGCATTCTCTGCAGTGGAGCGAATCGGCCAGGGGGTGGCAGTGTGTAAATACTGTATGTTGTCTGCCCTATCCCCCACGAATATAGAAGAAGAAGAGAAGAGATTGGATTTATACCCCGCCCTTCACTACCCAAAGGTGTCTCAGAGCGGCTTACAAACTCCTTTCCCTTCCCCTCCCCACAACAGACACCCTGTGAGGTAGGGGTGGGGGGGGCTAAGAGAGCTCTTAACAGAGACTGCTCTTTTTCAAGGACAGCTCTTATCAGAACTACGGCTTACCCAAGGTCATCCAGCCAGGTGCACGTGGAGGAGTGGGGAATCAAACCCCGTTCTCCCAGATTGGAGTCCGCGCACTTAACCACTACACCAAACTGGCTCTATACTGTTAGCCCATTGTCTCTGAGTAACTGTAAATCGCTCTGAGCCTGCATGAGTGGGAAAAAGCGATCAATAAATTGAAAATTGAAAGTATTAAGGAAGTCCAGGGTCACTATGCAGAGGCAGGCAACGGCAAAACACCTCCGTCAGTCTCTTCCCTTGAAAACCCTACAGGGTCGCCGTGAGTTGGCTGCAGCTTGACTTTTACAAAGTCAGGTATTTCAACTTTTTAAAAATGAGGTGTGTTCTGGGCCGATTTTGGTTCCTCTTTCAAAGTGTGATTTCATCACGTATGTTTTAATGCGTCAGCTGCCTGGGTGGCCCTCGTGAGAAAGACAGAAAGGTGAGACATAAATCTTGTACAATGCAATCCAAATCTCATTTTGGGAAACCCGAACCTATGGAGTTCTCGTCATCCTCGATGATCGCCCCTCGGTTCCTGGGCCTTCCCGATGCGACCGTCAGGTCGTCATCCTCATCTTCGTAATTTGTCACTGCCTTTGGGGACGACTGGGGCTCAATGAAGTCTCTGTTCAGAAAGTCCTCGTTGTCATCCTCGTCAAAAAGATCATCGTAGTCTTTGGAAGCGGGAGCCGATGCCTGAGGACGAGGTAAACAAATATTGGGAAGACACGGAGCTCTCAAAAAAACCCCAGTGCTGTGTGACTAGAGGAGCAATACTCCCCAAGCTTGAAAAGGATATTGGGGGGGGGGGGAAGCCCCCAAAGCTTCTCATTTATACTACCTTGGTGTTTGACTGCTTTCTATCTGCACCGCAGACGTTCTCCAGGAGACCCAGATTGCCTTCCGTGTCTGTGTAAGCTACTTGGCTGCCTTCTGGGTGCCAGGCCAGGCCACAGATGGTGTAACCTTTTTCATGCTTCACCCTTAAGCAACCAAACAAACAAAAAGCAAAGTTATGTTTTCCTTAAGGCGTATGAATGAGTATGTACACTTGGAATTCACTGCCAAAGGAAGTGGTGGCGGCTACAAGCATGGACGGCTTCAAGAGGGAATTAGATAAGCATATGGAACAGAGGTCCATCAGTGGCTATTAGCCACAAGGTACAGATAGGGACTCTGGGGCAAGGGATGCCACTGTGTGACACAGAGTGTTGGACTGGATGGGCCTTTGGCCTGATCCAACATTGGCGTCTCTTATGTTCTTATGTCATCTTGGTGCTTGGGGGGGGTCAACAGTGGGAGGGCTTCTAATGTCCTGGCCCCACTGGTGGACTGCCTGATGGCACCTGGTATTTCTGGCCCCTGTGTGATACAGAGTGTTGGACTGGATGGGCCTTTGGCCTGATCCAACATTGGCATCTCTTATGTTCTTATGTATGTATGCATGCACAGTTCTTAAAGTGTACCTTTTTTTTTTTAATCCCCGGAGGGATATTTTTTATTTTGGTAAACTACAAAAACTACAAAGAAATAATAGGGAAGGGACTACATCTAAGGAGAAAGGAAAGCAAACCACACTAATCTAAAACCCCAAGAGGAGGAGATCTTTTCACTGTTAGTTAAAATGTTAGTACTGTTGGAGTTAATGTCACAATATACTTCTAGAGTTCTCTCTCATAACAACTAACAAAATAACATATAAATAGCCAACTGTTAAAGTGTACTTTTTTAAAAAGCATGAATGCTGTCAAATACTTGTTGCAAGAAGATAAAATTAAGAACATAAGAGAATCCATGTTGGATCAGGCCAGTGGCCCATCCAGTCCAACATTCTCTGTCACAGAGTGGCTAAAACCAAGGTGCCGTCGGGAGGTCCACCGGTGGGGCCAGAACTCCAGAAGCCCTCCCACTGTTGCCCCCAGTTGGGAGCAGATAGAGCATAAGAGAAGCCATGTTGGATCAGGCCAGTGGCCCATCCAGTCCAACATTCTGCATCACACAATGGACCAAACCCAGGTGCCTTCAGGAGGTCCACCAGCGGGGCCAGAACTCCAGAAGTCCTCACACTGTGGCCCCCCAGGCCCCAAGAATACAGAGCACCACTGCCCCAGATGTGGGAGAGATAATTAGGGCCAGCCAAAAGGTTGGATGGCCATAGCAGTATTCAGGGCTTTTTTGTAGAAAAAGCCCAGCAGGGACTCATTAGCACAACAGGCCACACCCAATAGCAGAAACTCATTAGCATATTAGGCCACACCCCTGACAGCACAGCTCATTAGCCTATTAGGCCGCACCCACATGTTACCAGAAGTGTGCTCATCCAGCCACACCCACCTTCTGCTTCTTATTCTGTTTACCTTGTTTGTTGTCAAAACCCAGGGCTTTTTTTGGAGCAGGAACTCCTTTGCATGTTAGGCCACACACCCCTAATGTAGCCAGTCCTAATGAGTTCCTGCTGTTGGGTGTGGCCTATTATGCTAATGAGTTCCTGCTGGGCGTGGCCAACTCAGGAGCCAGCCGGAACTCCGTTCCTGTGCGTTCCAGCCCAAAAATAGCCCTGGCAGTATTACTTTCTTTGAAGGGCTTGTCTTAACTTAAATTTAACTATTAGGGTGAAAACTAAACAATCGCAGGGTCATTGCATTAAGGCTAGATATCAGCCCTAATACGGCTGTGTCATCACTTATTTTATTAAAGCAATTATTGTTCATTTAGGTAAGAGCAGATCCGCCCTGACCTGGACTGCAGACTAGCCCAATCTTGTTAGGTCTTGGAAGCTAACCAGGATCGACCCTGACCAGTATTTGGATGGGAGACCACGTAGGAAGTCCAGGGTCGTAATGCAGAGGCAGGCAGTGGCAAACCACCTCTGAATGTCTCTTGCCTTCAAAAGCCTACCGGGTCGCCATGAGCCAGCTGTGACTTGAAGGCAAAAAAAAAAGAACAGACTGTTGCCAGATACACAGAGCCATCCGAACACATCTAATTCTACCTGAGTGTTGTGTCCCTCTTTTAATCCAAATGTGCCTAAAAACATTACTTCTCAGTTAAGAAGAGAACGTAAGAAGAGCCCTGCTGGGTCAGAACCAATGCTCCAAGTTGTGGAGTCTTGTGAGCAAAAATTCTAACTTTGTGAGCTACTGGCATTAAAGCTGTGAGTGAGCGATTTGGCTGCTGCATGAATTAGTTTGCTCTGGAGCCTTTCTTCCTGAGCTAAGACAAAAATGTGTGAGCCAGAGGCCAAAAAAACTGTGAGCTAGCTCACACTGACTCATCTTAGAGGGAACACTGGTCAAAGCAGTGGTCTATCTAGTCCTATCTCACACAGTGGCCAACCAGTTCTTCCAGACGGCCAACAACAGGCCAAATCTGGCGATCCGGCACAGCACCTCAGGATCTGTCCCGGAGCTGGTCCACCACCGCAGCACCGAAAACTGGAAGTCCAAACTAGACCTACCCCTGATGTTGCCTCTTGGCACTGGGATTCAGGGGTTTAGTGCCTCTGAACGTGAAGGTTCCCCTCAGTCACCAGGTCTAGTAGCCACTGATAGATCTCTCCTCCACGAATCTACCTAATCCCCTTTTAAAGCTGTCTATGCCTGTGGCCATCACTACATCCCCTGGCAGCAAATTCCACATTTGAATTACTCTCTGTGTAAAGAAGTTATTATTAAGGGAATTAGGATTGCTGCAATCAACCCAGTTGACTATTCTATCTGGGGGAACTTATAAACAAAATCACTGGGGGCAAGTACATAAAAAAAGCACTGAAGCAGCCAAATGTTCATTTCGAAGACCAGTGGCTTCTGTGCGTTTTCTGCTCTGCGGTCACTATCTTCATGCAAGACACCATAAAAACAACTGGCACCTCTCCAGACACTCCTGCGTGTCCACGTTCCAAACAACTATACAGCCGCCGACACTTCCTGCTGCCACGAACTGTCCACAGGGAGACCAGGCGACAACATTGAGAGGCTGTGAGAGAGAAACGAGGAGACACCATTAGCTATGGGACACTTTCTGAACAATGGGCAACCAACTTTTTCGATCCTGTGGGCACCTTTGGAATTCTGACTCTGGATGGTGAGTCTGACCACAAAATGGCGGCCACAGGAGGTGGAGCCAACCACAAAATCTCAGGGCATTGGATCACGCATAAGACTAAGAGTAGCTCTTCAGCATTTCAGGCAGAATGCCTTTTCAAATGAGCATGCCCATTTAGAAATATTTCCTTGCATGCACACAGATTGTCTTCAGTCATATCAGATCCCTGTGCTGTGGCAGCAGCTGCTGCTGAAGCAACTTTTTAAAAATCTGCACAGCCAATCAAGTCTCCAGTGTCCAGTCAGAAGCCTTGCTGGGCAGAAGCCCCACCTGTCCTTACCCCTTTCTGAAAACATTTGGCGAGCGCTGGGAAAGGTGCCCGTGGGAACCATGTTGGGGAACCCTGCTTTGAACCATCTCACTTCCAATTTCCCCAACATGCCAACGGCATTTTTTTTTTGTACAAATGGAGAGCTCTTGCACTGAGATTTTCTGGGAAATCCCAAAGATGGGACAGGCTATATTCCATAATATAGTTAATACTAAGCTTTCATTTTCATTCTTGTGAGCATTAAGGAGACTACATGCAATCCAGAAGTATTCGAAAAAACATAAAATTGGAGAAAGAAATTGCAACAAGCATTGCCCACTTCTAGAGGGAACAAAAGTCCGGTGGCACCTGAAAGACCAATAACACTTCATGATGCTGCCGGAGTTTTGTTTTACTTTTACTATGACCAACACAACTGTCCCTTTGCAAGTACTTCAGATTTTCCACCACTGCACTTCTCAAATATTTAAAATACTATTTTATTCATTATTTAAATATTGGTGAGGGAAAGTGCCATCAAGACACAGCTGACGTAAGGGAAACCCAAAGGGCAGGGGCGTCAAACATGCGGCCCGGAGGCTGAATCAGCCCCCCCCCCCCCCCGGAGGGTTTCTGTCAGGCCCGCAGTGGAACTGGCCATCTCCTGCTTCCAGTTCTGCTGCTTCTGCTGCATTGTAGCTTGCTTCGCCAGACCCTCTTAATCACTCAGCCATTTCACGTTTTAACCTGGGTCCTGCGCTCAGAACTCTGAGCATGAGATTTCTGCGGTGAATGTTAATAAATCAAAAGTAGGTTTGCAGCTTACAGAGCTAATGTTTTAAGCATGTTTTTATTTTAAGTGTGTGTGGAGGTCTCCCATCCAAATAGTAACCAGAGCAAACCCTGCTTAGCTTCCCAAATCTGACGAGATCGGGTTCGCCCAGGGTATTAACTAGTATTCCATTAAAAGCCTTTTTGATTGTAATGTTATGTGCTCCTTAACTGTCCCAAGCAAAAAGTGGTCTCCAGACACAGCTACAAAATTTGGCTTCATCTGGCTGACCGAGTGACCACCAGAGCGCATCTTTGAAATAAATATTTACATGTAGGGCTGTGGCTCAGTGGCAGGGCTCCTGCTTGGCATGCAGAAGGCCCCAGGTTCAATCCCCGGCATCTCCAGTTTAAAAGATCAGGTCAGAGATGATGTGAAAGACCTCAGCCTGAGACCCTGGAGAGCCATGAAGTGAGGCTGTGGCTCAGTGGCAGGGCATCTGCTTGGCATGCAGAAGGTCCCAGGTTCAATTCCCGGCATCTCCAGTTTAAAAGATCAGGTCAGAGGTGATGTGAAAGACCTCAGCCTGAGACCCTGGAGAGCCGCTGAGGGTCTGAGCAGACAATACTGACTTTGATAGATCAAAGGTCTGATTCGGTAGAAGACAGCAGCTGCATGTGTGTTCATATCTTCACAGAACATACTGGGAGCTACATCAGGCAGTGAAACTGCTGCTTCAACAGCAGATCCATGAAGAGCACCTGTATGCCAAGGAAGCGTCATCTCTAACCAACTGCGGTGGCCACTATCTTAACATCCGAACTGAGTTAGTTCAAGCCCCGCGCTGGTGTGAGCAGCAAGCCTGTTGCCCCCAGCTCATCGTCCACCCAGCGATTCGAAAGCTTCGGCGAGTAGATAAAATGGGAACCACTCCTTAGAGAGGGTGGGCACACCAATCTCCCTTGTGGGAGGGTGTTAGCTGACGGTCGGGACGTCCTGGTCGAGGTCGGGAAAAGGCGGAAGAACTTCTCGGCTACAAAAATCCCTGCAGTGGATGTTTCCGGCCAGGTGGTGGCAGTGTGGCGATGTGACATACGGGTCCTGAAGCCTGGTTGACAAGCAGCCGTTCGGAAAATGACTGAGCCAAGCCAGAAGACGTTTACACCGTGCAGTGACAGCATGTGCAATTAAATGAATATATGTTGTCTTCCCTATCCCCTACGAACATTGTTAGTCCCTTGTCTATATATGGAGTCACCGCTCTCTCTGCTCCCAATGCGCTATTATCAATCTCTCTCTCTCTTTCTCACCCCCCCCCCAAAGTACTACAAAGGGCAGTCCATCCTAGCATATCACTCATAAAAACTGAACTGTAACAACAGTCTGAAGAATGCCTACCTGCGAGATGAAGTTATCCGACAGATCGAACTGTTGTTCCCACGTATCCCTCCTGTACAGCTTAACAACTTTCTCTACTGGGATGGCCAGAAACTGTTCAGAGGAGAAATCACATTTTTTTAAAAATCCTTTTTTAAAAAAAGTTGGTTCTGATGACAAACAAGCACGGACACGTAATTTGATTAAGGTAAGAAGCCCCAACAGGTCAAGGAGTAGACATGAAATATCTATTTTATTTAGGTACTTACAAGAAGCGGGACCCGCGATACTCACGGGGGCGGGGGGGGGGGAATTCCTAAAGGCTCCCGGTCTGCAGAAGTAGCTCCATGTCACGGCTCCTGCTGACTACGAGCAAGCAGCTCCCGCTAAGTGCGAACAAGCGGCCCCAGCAGAGGATCTAAGTGCTGCTGGGGATGCGCTCTCAATGCCTGAAATTCCTGCACCTGACAGGGCTGAGATTCCAGAGGCTACCCCAGCAACAGCTGAGGCAGAAGCACGCCCGGACAGTTCTCCTCCTGATTCACCACCACCAGTATCCCGCTTGAGAGAACGGCGCCGACGGGATATGGCAACCCAGCGGCGAGAGGCACGCATCTGTGGCAGGTGCTTATTCAGCCCCGAGTATTAGCAGGAGCCGGGACTTGCTTGGGGCGTGCTAATTGCCAGCAGGCTTATGGGCTATTTAACTCATGCCCTCACACCGACATATCGTGTCAGCAACTAGTCTCTTCTGACGAAGTTCTGCACCTCCTTGCTCGTGATCCTAGCTCCTGGTTCCTGTCTGGATTTCCTCGGCTCCTTGACCTCGGCTCGAACGACTACACTTCAGTTCTGCACCCCAAATTTTCGACTCTCTGGCTCTTGACTCTTTAGGACTCTGGTTTCCTGACGACTCTAACGGTTTGTGCTTTGAACCTGATTTCCCGGTTGGTTTGCTTGCCTGGCTATTGACTTTGGACTGTACCTTGACCACCCCGCTCTTGCTTTGTGTGTTGGACTTGGTTTCCCGGCTGGCTTGCTTGACTGGCTCCTGACCTCGGACTGTATCCTGACTGCCCCGCCCGTGCCTAAGCCCCGCATCGTGACACTCCACAGGTAAGCCTTCTCCCCCCCACCCGCTGATCCCCCCTCCCCCCGTGGGCACTGGCAGCGAGGTCTGAGTGCCTCCCAGCCACTGGGCCCCATAATCTCCCCCCCCCGCCGACCCCCCCCCCCCCCCCTGGGGGCAAGGCCTGAGGGGGGGATTTAAATATCCCCCGTACCGTTTTTAAAACTTCTTAGATTTTTCTGCACACCTGGGGACTGCCCCAAGTGTGCAGAAAAATCTCCCTGCCCCCCAATGTGCGGATTTAGATATCCACACCGAGGGGACAACTTAGCTATTAGATATATAGATACCCCGCTTTTCCTCCCAACAGGGCCGCATTGTGATTTTCGTGGGACCTGGGCACTCTTGCCTTCGTGGGCCCCTCCCACCACAATAATATCATTAAAAAATATTTATAGGTAAATTTTAAATGTCAACTTTTTTTCTGTTTTAGGCAAAATATAATAGATTTTCATGGGCCCTAAACATTTCATTTTTTTCTGACGTGAGAAATTGAAACATTTTCTTTGACCCTAATAGTTCATTTGTTTTCTTCTAGAAGAAGAGATTGGATTTATACCCCCGCCCTTCACTCGGAGTCTCAGAGCAGCTTACCATCTCCTTTCCCTTCCCCTCCACACAACAGACACCCTGTGAGGTAGGTGGGGCTGAGAGAGCTCTTTTGAGAACGGCCCTTGAGAGAACAGTTTCGAGATAACTTGTGACTGACCCAAGGTCACACCAGCAGCTGCATGTGGCGGAGTGGGGAATCAAACCCGGTTCTCCTAGATTAGATTCTGCGCCCCTAACCACTACACCAAATTGTTGTGAGAATAACATGGAGGAGAGGAGAAGAGTGTAAGCTGCTTTTGGCCACCACTGGAGAGACAGATAGTGAGAGACAGCAGGAACTTTGTATGCTGCCCTGAACTCATTGGAAGAAATCTACAATAAAAAACGTGAACGACAGCAAGATAAAAAACAGAGAACTTGTCACATGCCTTTCCTTTTTTTGGCTGCCAGGCGAGTCTACATATTGATTTGGCATCGACCACGTCGTTACACTTCTGCAGCAGGGGCCAGCTTTTCTCACAGATCTGGAAGCAAAAACATGTTAACTGCCGTGATCTAGTATGATAGTGTCCCCGTGAAGGAGGAAAAAGGTTCTACAAGATGCAGGAGGCAGCAGGCACAATATAAAGAAGAAGAGAAGAAGAGATTGGATTTATACTTCACTACCCAAGGGAGTCTCAGAGCAATTTACAAACTCCTTTCCGTTCCCCTCCCCACAACAGACACCCTGGGAGGCAGGTGGGGCTGAGAGAGCTTTGACAGAAACTGCTCTTTTTCAAGAACAGCTCTGACAGAACTATGGCTTACCCAAGGTCACCCAGCAGCTGCAAGTGGAAGAGTGGGGAATCAAACCCGGTTCTCCCAGATTAGAGTCCGCTCACTTAACCACTACACCAAACTGGCCTCCGCCTGAGATCCTGAAGAGCAGCTGCCAGTCTGAGTAGACAATACTGACTTTGTTTGGTCTGATTCAGTATAAGGCAGCTTCATGTGTGGAATGTATTGACTCAACGAAGGAAGCCACGGTTCACACTCTGCAAGACCCGAGCAAGGCTGTTAATGACAGTATGTTTTGGAGGCCGCTGATTCGTAGTCATCAAGTCAGAAGCGACTCAGCAGCACTCAACAGGCACCATTTTGGGGGGAGGAATAACGAGGCCGCAGTTTACCATTGCTTATAAAATGCATTTTGATGGTCCTTAAATAAGCATTCCCAGATCCACGCAAACACAAAAAAATCCTCGACTGGAGGAAACACTGAGTTAAGAGTTAGCCATGCCAGCTATTCCACCCACACCTGCACAGCAGGTCTCCTTCACCTGAAGATGCAGCGCAGTTACAAACCTTTTCTATTTACTGGCAAGACAACAAACCTTTATTGGCGTAACAACAGCGGCCTTGGCTCAGAGATACAGGAAAAGGAAAGGAAAACCAGTTAATTAGCTACTCATTCTGGCAGAAAAGACTTCTCCCTCCTATATGCACAATACAGCAAGTTTGCCACTGCTTCAATGAGATCTGCCCTGTTTGAGGCTAGAAGGTTCACAATCTTACTTTCCTCAGATTTGCCCTCCAGGGTGATCGAGGTGATAGGCACGTAAATCCTGGTAAAGTCTACAAGACAGAAGTACATGGTCCGTTCCTTCAATCTCCTTTAGCCCACATGGGTATAACCTATCCGAGAACGGTGTTTTTTAAATCTCCCATACAGCACAGCTGAGGGGAGCACGTTAAAACGGGCCAGTGTGAAGACCCTTCTAATAAGGGGATCAATCAAAGAAGAGAAATACTCTGCAAGCGGCACGTTAAAAGAGATCCCCCAGTAAATTGGGGAACAGTACCCAGTGGCAAGACTGTTAAGTTCTTGCATTTCTATATCGATTAGTCTCTGTTTAATCATGCCACAAGCCTGCTTCTCCGAAAGAAGGGTCAAATCATCCATGTTGAGCCCCCTGCGAATAATTTTCCCTTCAACACATGCCAACCAATCTGATAGGGAGGATTACTGGCCAGACATTAGACAGGCACGTCAAGGGGGAAACATCAGGTATTTCATAAGGAAGCACGAAAGAACGTACTCTCCTCATCTGAATGGTTTCTCTAAAAATTATGGACGTGCCAGCTGTTGAAAACAACAAGGGACAGCTGTTTTTATTTCAGATGGCAATTCTTAGAAATGGGACTGTTTAATCCGAGCCATCTGGTTGATGCGCGCACATGCGTACATGAACCGTTCAAGATGCCCATTACTGGATTCCTGTCATCGTTTTGCCACAAAAGAAACCCTCTCCTGCCAGCAGCAAAGTTCCTGTTGCGCTATAAAAGAGCAGGGGGGTGACATTTCTAAGAGCGCAAAAGACATTTAGCAAATTGGTACGAGTTCACTGCTGAGTTAACAGGAAATTTTAAAAGGCTACCGAGGCATCTGTCAATGCGAAATTTCTAGGTTTGATTCCAAGAAGACGGCACTTTACCTGCTCCGCAATTTTCCACACTCTGACGGATCCATCACAGCTTGCTGATGCCTGCGGAAGGGGGAAACATTTTTGAAGAGTAAGTGATTACAATGGCATTGCTTCTTTAAAACGGCACAGCGGTTGGCATCTTTTGACATTTGCTAAATACTCTAAACGTTGGCAGATGTTTGCCTCGAAACACGCCTCGCTGGTCAAGAGAAAATCTAATAAACACACCAGGATTTTGCTTGTAAAATCATCAGGGGGTGAATCCTGAAACAGACCTGCGGAAGTTTTTTATACTTTGAATCTTCTTAAAGAGCTCACAAACGTATGTGTATCTTTAAATTACTGTTTGGGTGAATAAATGTGCCTTTCCAGAAGTTATCCTTTCTGAAAGGAGATTACGAAAAAAAGAAGACTTGGAATTCTCCTCCTCCATTAACAAAACGATGGAACTGTAGAAGAAAATCACAGCCTATGCGTAACGGCTGATGGAGATGGCCATACCCTCCCACGACACGTTGCCTTTGTGCACGACCGAAATCAGCTAAATTTGTAACAAGTATTTCAGAGCAGTCATTTTGCAGGAGAGTGAAAGTTCTGTAGATATAAATACTACACTTGATCTTAGTCAAAAGGTCCAAGATAGACACGAATGAATGAATGAACAGGGCACCCACTTTTCTCTGCTCAATGCAGGCTCAGTCTACAAAACCCAAAAGTACTTGAAACCAGGTTACTTAACAGCAAATTGATCTGCCATCAGCAGACGAATCACTTT